CAATGTCGATTGGCAAAAGGAGCTTTGGCATTGTTCAACGGGGTCAAAATTCGTTGCCGATGGGTATTTCTTCAGTTCAGCAAGCTCACATCAGAACCGTAGGTTCCTGAAATCTTTAAATAAGATCCAGACGTGCAGTTCGATGTCATGTTTACACGTTGCAATACGAATATCAGGGAAGTTCGTTTTTTCAGTTTAAAGTTGCGCAGTTTAAAACATTGCTTGATTTGAAAGGGTGTTCTGCTTATCATCGAATCTAACCACCATGCAAACTCCTGCTGAAGTGAGGACTTGGCGTCGACATCTTGAGGTGGTGGTTGTCCGTCACTCGCCAGTTATTTCTGCCCCCGACGAAGCATCTCTAAGTGTTCCACTTTTGTGAATCTGTTTGGCTTGACGAAGTTTGGGGAGGTATCAGCAATAGTTCACAAAGGTTGGCGTCTGGAATAAATTTCCTCTCAGCTGCTGGTGAAAAAATGTTCAAGAAGAAAGATTTGCACAAAGTCGGTTGAAGCAAGAAGGACACGATGCAAAATAATGCAATGACTACCATTCTGAAATATGACGAACTTGACTGGGTCGATTTCAGAGACGCTCTCTGCAAAGGGTATTCTGAGATGCTGCCGAACAAATCGGTGGGAAATGAGCAATTGCTGACAGTCACTTGTTTGAAGAATCAGTTTGTGTTGTTCTGTCAACGTCATCTGAGGCTAATAGAGCTTAGACAGCAGGACAACCCAAATTTATGACCCTTAAAAATTTTATCTCAGATTGTTATTAGGCAATATTCACTGCTGTAACAAAGGTCGCGTTCCTCTCTTGAAGGCATGTCTGCCTCAACGAAGAATTCTTTAGAAACTTCCAGAGATACGCAGCCAGAAAATTGAAATAAGTGAAAGTTACACATGGGTTACACATGGTGCTGAGTATTGCGCTGGATATTCAGCCCCCAGATGGTTCAAGGAGAACTGCAGCCGCGTGGGGTGCTCGCAACGGTCAGCAGTACTGAAGACTTCGTCTTTTCTTTGATAGTTATGTACTGAAAGATAAATCCACCAGTTATTCGTCAGTCATCTAATCTATAACAGCGATATTTACCTCTCA